AAAAGACGAAACGTTTCAACAAAGCAGAATCCGTCCAGAGGACCTGACTCAACCTTGTTAGATTTCACTGGAAGGATCAGTTAAACAAAGTAAGAGTTAGTTTCCCAGCTGAAACAAACGAGCACATTGTGAGGCAGTCTTCTTCAGTCTTCTCTCCCTCCCAGCTGCTGAGTTGCTTTGTTGGCCTTCCTCCAAAGCAAAGCATTTTGTTTTATCTGCAGGCATTCCATTTGCACACATTAACGACAAGAATTCCCCTCAAGAACAACGCTGCATGACAAGAACAGGGCCCTGGGTGCTAAATGAAAATCACTGACGGATATTAGTGGCGATTGTTTTGAAGACTGAGCTGAAAGTCAGAAAGCTGCTGCTCCGTTCCAACATTTAAAAAGGAGAATGTGAACCGCCCCACTTTACTCTGCATTCTTTGCTAACCTGACATTCCTTCCTGTTACTCTGAATAAAAATTCACTTAACACACAGTGTTGCACTTTGCACGCAAGAAACTTGATCAGTGTGTTGTGACAAAATGTACACCATTAATCACACCAAAAAAGAAAACTGAAAACAATGCGATGGACAGACTGTGACACCTAAAGTGTCATAGCATATAAAAATGTCCTCTCTGTGCATAAACAAGTTGTTGTGGAGCCAATATCCTGCAAATATGTGATTTCCAGTTGTGTCTGTAGTAATTTAAAGACGACTGTTAGATTTTTATTAAAGCAGGGTTATGTAGAGTACTTCTGAGCAGTCAGTATCTTCCCTGAAGTAAACAGCAGTCGGCACAGCACAGAAGGCAACAATCGAATGGATTTCAAGCTAGGTGCAAATTTATACTATTTAAAACAATACTAGTTTAAAACTCCCCTAGTATTTCAAACAGACACGATGTTGAGCTTTTTAAACATCTGTAATATAGATATAATCTTTACAACTGTTGCAAATCTAACATCAGATCCATGTGTGATCAGATAATAATTAATGTGCCGCTTTGAGTAAGTTAATCAAATAATCATATGATTAACACTGAATATGTATCCCATTTATCCATCCATCATCTTTACCCGCTTCTTTCTTTTCGGGTCGTGGGAGTAACTGGTGCCCATGTCCATCAGTCACTGTGTGAGAGGCGGGGGACACCCTGGACCGGTCTCCAGTCCATCCCAGGGACACATAGAGACAAACAACCATTCACACTCTCACTCACACCTAGGGACAATTTAGAGTTACCAATCAGTCTAACATGCATGTTATTGGTCTGTGGGAGGAAACTGGAGTACCTGGAGAAAACCCACACATGTACAGAGAGAACATGCAAACTCCACCCAGAAAGGCCCCCGGCCGGGATTTGAACCAGGGCGACCTGCTCGCTGAGAGGCAGCAGCTCTACCAACTGCACCACTGTGCCACCCTGTATCCAATTTAGACCCATATATATGAAAAAAAAAAAACGTTACATTCAGACTGTCATGAAAAAAATCTGATATGGGTTGTGTGCGAGTTAAAAATGGATTTGGGACACATTTGCCTGCAGCGTGAACATATAGCTTAGGGAGGCCATACTGAGATGGTTTGGACATGTCCAGAGGAGGGACAGTGGGTATATTGGTAGAAGGATGTTAGAAATGCAGCTGCCTGGAAAAAAATACAAAAGGAGGAGGACTCTCTGTGACGACCACGGAAGAGGGAAAAGCCAAAAGAAGAACTCGATGTTGCCACAACAATCCATCAAGTTGCAGAAATTATTTCATCTGGTAAAAAAGTCTTGCTCTTTTAAAGTGGAAAGGTTATGAGTTCTGCTATGTGAGCAGTGTGCCTCTCTCTGGGCTAAGCTTTAGCTCTAACAGATGTTTGTTTCATGCTGCTGCTTGAAAAAGAATTTGATCATGGCTGAACAGAAAACAGTTTTATTCCCGGTTTAAATATTATTTGAATATCAAACTGAAAGTCCTTCTGATTTATTTTGCAATATGCCTCCTTAGTTTTATTTCTCCCACAATCACAGCAATTTAAAAGTAGAGACAAAAATGGCACCAGGTGATTGGTATCCAAAGTTTCCTCTCAGCAGCTCAAGATGACCTCAATCAGTACAGAGTGGCTGACTGTGCAGGGATGTGCCCCATCTTTGTCCATTAAAAGGGAAAGTAAACTAGGACAGAGTGTACTTTTACTTTTGTTAAATCTATAAATGGTGAACCCATGTCTCTAAAGCCTGGACTGAACAAGTTAAGGAATAAACATAATTTAAAATAATAGAATTTGAACTCATCTGGCTGTAGTAACAGATATAATTTAACATGAACAGCTCTTTAAACATGCTGATCAGATGAAATAAAACTTGCATACATTAAATCCTGGACCGTAAGCCCTATCAACAAATGGTACAAATATATTTTATCTGAATGAGCTAAACCAACCCAAAAATAAATAAACAAGACCAATTGCTCAGTCCACCAAACCAGTGATGCCCCAGAATTCAGATCATGGGCTGACCTACATCTTATCCATTTTCTCTGGGGATCTGCTGGAGGAAATGAGTCTCACCCTGAGACTAAAAATTTAGGAGTCGAGATGAAAATAGAGCAGTATGCAAGAATAACTCTAGCTGAAGGTCAGAGGATCCTAAGAACGTGTTGTCGATCTGCAACCACTGGGTGTTCAAAAGGTGCAAACAACAAATATTCAACCAATAAAAGGTCACTGTATTTCTCCAACAATAGGCAAACTAAAGAAAAACGAAAGATGTAGCGAAAATGTTCTGATTTTTTCCAGTACACCACTGATATTATGTGTAAATATTATTTTAAAAGGTTTCCAGATGCATGCTCAATAATCCAGGTAGATAAATCTAACGAGGTTCAGTCAGACCCTCTTTGTTGAAACGTTTCATCTTTTATCCAAAACTGAAGTCGTCTTTGGGATAAAAGGTGAAACGTTTCAACAAAGATGACCTGACTGAACCTTGTTAGATACTTTAAAAAGGTTTTCAGCCTCAGCACGGTGGCTCAGTTGGTAGAGCTGTTGTCTCTCAGCGAGAATGTCACTGGTTCAAATCCCAGCCGGGGATTCTGGGTGGAGTCTGCATGTTCTCTCTGTGCATGTGTGGGTTTTCTCCAGGTACTCCGGTTTCCTCCCACAGACCAAAAACATGCATGTTAGACTGATTGGTAACTCTAAATTGTCTCTAGGTGTGAGTGAGAGAGTGAATGGTTGTTTGCATGTGGCCCTGTGATGCACTGGATACCTGCCACTCACACTGTGACATGGGCACCAGTGACCCCAGCGGCCTGAAAAGGAAGAAGCAGGTCAAGATGATGGATGGTCAGCCTTATGGAAGCCCATTTCAGCCACAGTGAAGAAAATAAAAATATCTATCTCAATATCTCAAAAGCATAACTTATATTGAAGCTTGCATAACTTTGAGATATTAAGTCATAACTGTAAAACCATTAGAGTGAGAGAGTGAATGGTTGTTTGTCTCGTTTGTCTCTATGTGTCCCTGTGATGGACTTGCGACCCGTCCAGGGTGTACCCCGTCCCTCGCATAGTGATTGCTGGACATGGGCACCAGCGACCCCCGTGACCCAAAATGGAACAAACGGGTAAAGAAAATGGATGGATGGATGGATGGTAAAACCATTAGGTCATAATTTTGATTTAATTATTGGGAGTGTCGTAAAGAGGTGAAAAAGAGAGTTCAGGCAGGATGGAGTGGATGGAGAAAAGTTTCAGGAGTGATTTGCGACAAAAGCAAAGGTCAAAGCAAAAGTTTACAAGACAGTGGTGAGACCAGTTATGTTCTATGGTCTGGAGACCGAGACGTGGACAAAAATACAAGAGAAAGAACTGGAAGTAGCAGAAAGGAAGATGCTATGGTTCTCCTTAGGAGTAACAAGGATGAATAAGATTAGGAATGAGATCATCAGAGGTACAGCACAGGTTGAACAACTGGGAGATAAAGATAGAGAGACCAGACTGAGATGGTTTGGACATGTCCAGAGGAGGGACAGTGGGTATAATGGTAGAAGGATGTTATTAATGCAGCTGCCAGTTAAAAGACAAAGAGGAGATATATGGATGCAGTTAGAGAGAACATGGAGGTAGTTGGAGTGAGGACAGAGTGAGATGGAGGAGGATGACTCGTTGTGGTGACCCCTGAAGAGGGAAAAGCCAAAAGAAGAAGAAATCATAATTGAGTTACGCTCATAATTATAATTTAAAAGAAAAAAATGTGAAGTTAGCATTTAAAATAATATTGAATTGCTTTTATTGAAATGCCAAGTCAAAGTTATGAGATCTCATAATTGTGTGACTTTTTTAAATCAAGTGTCAGAAATGGACTTCAGTAAGACTCAACTGACCTTAAACTCATCTTTGCCAGTTGGGGTCTGCAACCATTATCAAAAGATCCATTTCTGCCCCTTTGTTCACTAAATTAAACGTGTCCAGAGCCACAATACCTTCTACAACTGGGATTCTCAACTGGTGGCCCACGGACCACTTTAAGTTTGTTGGAGGGCACTTGAACAGTATTTGATATTTTTACATTCTAAGACAAAATAAAAGATGAGATTCTTGAAAAGAAGGAAAAAAAAAGTTTTTGCCTAGTTTCTAAAAACTAAAACAATAAACTATGCATTATTATATGATTTTTTTTATTGTAGAAAAATTACTTCTCCTACTTTGAATAAATAAAGCATAAAGTGAACGCAAGTATGTTTTACTCCTTGTAATGTTTCTTGTATTCATATAGTTTCTAAATTAATTACATGAAAACTGCTAAAACTAGCCCCTTTAGTTATAACATCCAATAAAATTCAGTTTTATTTCAGTTTTGGTCAAAGCTTGTAAGAGCCGCTGCAGAGGGACCAAAGAGCCGCATGTGGCTCGGGAGCCGCAGATTGCAGACCCCTGCATGATTTAAAACAATCAATCCACAGAACGCAGGATCTGCAGCAAACTTTGTGCACATGGAAAGAAGTCACAGTCAGCCTCACCTTCCTGCAGCTCCTCCAGGCTGCTGATCCTCCTGCCCCCGTCCAGCGTGTACAGGCTCCGGACCCCCTGGGGGAGGTGGACGTTGTCCGACAGGGACCGTGTGAGCTCCATGAGCAGGGCATCCAGGGACCGGAACCGGTCGCTGGACACGGCGTACACCAGACCCTTGAAGTATTTGTCACCGTTGCGATAAAAGCGAACTTTTCGGGCTTTTTTCTCCGACGTGAGGGACTGCAGAGTGCGCGTGCGGTAGAAGGCGCAGTGCGCACTGCGAGCGGGGCTGGGGACCAGACCTGCGCCTCTGGAGCCCGACAGGGACCCGGCGGAGGAGCTGGTCCTGCGGGTCCGCTGAGGCTTGTCTCGGTCCTCAAAGTGTTCAGTTTCGGTGTTTCTGCACAGAGACATGATGTCTCTTTAAACCAACAGGGGGTTGAAAACAGAGAGATGCGATGACACGTGTGCGTCTTTCAACTCCCACACCGCAGCTCGATACGAGTCAGGCTGGAAAAATGAAGAGTCCACGAACGATCCCCGACCTGACTGATCCGATGAAGAGTTGTCTGTAGCCTAGAAAAACCCGAGACAGGCGCAACTATCCTGCTGGAGCTGTGTCCAACTGTCTGACAGTCATCACCGACCTGTTGTTGTTAAAATACACAGGAAAGAAACGAGGCAGAGCACCTCGGATCACCTCGCATCCTCCTGTCCAACAAATCGTCCAACAAGCTGTCAGATCGATACTTAATGGAAGGAAGGACGCCTGGAGCGCTCCCGGGTCCTAATGCCCCAAATTTAAATAATTCGATTACTGTAAAACTTTAAAATCTGAAAATGTCAAACAAAAATCACAGGAAAAAAATTATGATTTAGCAGCACAAAAATATCTTGAACTGTTCGATCAGTCAGCTAGGATAGTTTTAAAATCTTCCACTCTTATTTTGGTGACTTCAATGCAACTTGCAGAGGTTAACAACACTGGACCATGTCACACTGAGGAACTGTATTTGTGGTAAGATGTCCACGTTTACCAAGTTTTTGTTTTTTAAACACTTTGTTTTTATCAAATGCTTTTAAATATAGATTATTTTTAAAAAGAGAGAGAGAGAGAGAAATACAATGTTCACAGTTTAAATGAGCTCGCCCACTTCAAAAACAGAGTAGCCCGATTCCCTCATTTGAGTCAGCTTTGATTCTGGAGTCATGAATTCTTGAACATTTAAAGTGACACAAATGTAATATTATTGAATGTATATGTGTAAAAAAAAGTTCAAGTTCAAGTAGGTTTATTGACGTTCTCACCACATGTTGTACATGAGGTAGAACGAAATTGTGTACTCAAGGTCCCAGTTACACCCAACCATAGCGAGAATATAAAGTATAAAAAGAAACAGTATATAAGGATCTAAGATATACACTGATATACACTGAACAAATACCAAACGGTACACTAACGATCTAAAATATACGCTAAACACTAATAATGTAAAACAATACGGTATATTAAACAGCAGCCCGAAGTCTGAGGTGAGCAGATTGGTATGAATGAATACAGCAGAATGAAATAATCAGCAGATCAACAATCAAAGTGGCAGTACAGTGATTCTTTTCACAGTGATAATCCTGATTAGAGATGCATAAGTCTAACAGTTTCAGGGTAGAAGATGTTCCTCAGTCTAGTGGTTCTATTCTTAATGGTCCTCAACCTCCTGCCTGAGGGGAGAGGTGCAAAATGTGTGTGTGCTGGGTGAGTGGGGTCTTTCATGATGCAGATGGCCCTCTTCCTGCATCTGGAAGTGTAGATGTCTGTGATAGTGGGAAGACTGACTCCAACAGTCTTCTGTGCAGCCTTCACCACTCTCTGCAAAGCTTTTCTTTCTGCAGCTGTGCAGCCTCCATGCCAAAAAAAACCTAAACAAAAACCAGTAACTTCAATTACTATCAAAACAAATGATTGAACATAAAATGTTTAACAAATATAGCCAGATAGGTACACAAGATCAAATTACAGAAATTTCAGTTCCTTCAAAAATGCAGTGTGAATGCTAATTGCAGAAGAAATTGCTGAAAAACAACTGAAATTAGCTAAAAACAAAACAGAAATGTAGCTGAAACAGCATAACAAGGATAAATTAGCAGACGAAAGCAGAAAGTCATTAGCAGAAATTAGCACAAAAATGAGAAAAGTAGCTAAAAAAACTGACATTGGCAAAAAAATAAATAGTTGAAAAGTAGCTGAAAAGGCAGAAAGAAGAACCAGAGGGAAACGAAAAAAGATGAAATGAGCACAAAAAGTGGAATTAACTGAAAAGGCCTAAATTAGCATTAATACAGCTAAATAGAAGCTGAAATGGCAACAAAAAAAATGCAAATAGCAGAAAAAGATGAAAGGGGCTTAAACAATCTGAAAGTAGCAGAAATTATACAACAAAAAAACATGTTTATCTGAAAACAGCTGAAATTAGCTAAAAATGCTAAAAAGGTACCTGAAAAGATAGAACAAGCTTAAATTAGCAGAAGAAAGCAGAAACAACATGTTTTGCCCAATTGGGCTGAAAGAAACAGAAATGAGCAGGAAAAAATGTAAATTGTCTGAAAAAAAGAAAAGAAAAAAAAAAAAAACCCAGCTGAAAAGTAGCTAAAAAAGCTGAAAGAAGCTTAAATTACCAGAAGGAAGTGGAAAGACATTTTTCTAAATTAGGCTGAAAAAAGATGAAATCAGTGCAAAAGAAGTGGAATAAACTGAAAAAGCTAAAATTAGCATAAACTGCTAAATAGTAGCTGAAATAGTAGAAAAAGTTTAAACTTGCATAAATCAATTGAAAGGAGCATAACAAGCTGAAATTAACAAAATGAAGTTAGAAGAAGCACAAAAATGTTGTTCTGGTAGTTAGTAAAAGAATCTGAAAAGAGCACAGAACAGCTGGGAAAAAAAAAAAACAGCTTAAATTAGCTGAAAGTAGCCAAAAAAAGTTAAAGCTTGCAAAAGGAAGCTGAAAGAAGCTGAACTGGAACAAAATGTAAAAGGAGCAGTAAAATGTTGTAAACAGATCTAAAGTTTTGAAGGATGTAAAATGAGCTCAATTAATTTTCTATGAGAAAAATGTTAGAAAAGGCTAAATATTTCAAAAAGCCAAAGTTGCACCAAAAGTCAGCAGGATTGTTATGATTGAGCTGAACGTTTTAATATATGATTTGTTGAAATAGCTCAAAAATTGTAGAACGAGAATCGCTCCCAAAAAAAGTATGGAAAAACAATAGTAACCGATGATAATAAATATAAACAGTATCACAATAGTGTGAACGCTTGATGAGCATTTACACTATTAGCTGTTTGTTTAATTTTAAAGACATGTCGTTTTTATCTAGTTCACTTCTGAGTTTCTAGAAAGTGACGCACTTTTAGAAGTAATTAGTACGGTGAATACAAACATGCGTACTATCTTTGTGTTTAAATAAATGAAACTCAAACCAAACTACAAAAAATAAAGTAAAATAGAAACATTATTTAAAATGAAACGCCAGCTGTGTGGGTGCATTGTTCAAGAAGCCTTTCCTGGAGGAAGTCACTTAGGAAGAACCAACATTAATTCTTTTCCCCCAGCAGAGGGAAATCCTGTACAGAACACACACACACACACACACACACACACACACACACACACACACACA